ATCGGGAACAGGGAAAGTATTACCGCGATATTTGTAATCCACATCGCATGCGATTGATTTTATCGAATCGCTAAATCATAAAACGACACGAAGTCGCTCTTGTTCCGGAACTGCGATTTAAATCGTGTACTGACGTCTAAGAGCGAGATCGAGACGGTGGCTATCTAGTAGTCGGACAAGAGAACTCGACAGAAAAATTTACAGGAATGTATAAAACTGAATTTATATCTTGCGTCTGGCTACTCGCAAACTATCTTTCTCTGTTTCTCTTTTCCTCTCCATCTCTTTGCTGGCACACGTTTCGCATTACTCCTTCGGTTGTAACTAAGCACGCTTAACAAATTGCACAAAAAGTTGCCCCGAAGCATCGGTCAGATCGCTCGATGCTTCATCGCCAATGTATACGTATTGGTATCCCGTCATAACTCGATAGCAACCAGTTACTATTTATCAGGTGGTATTGTAAAAAGTAATGAAATGTTTATGCATAAAAATATAAGAAAACTACATCAAGTAAGTGCTTTTTAACTAAAAACATATTGACAAAGACAGACATTGTTTATGAAAGGATTTAACGTGATAACGAGGATATAAATATTGTAGTTATTAGTTTAGATAAAGGATGTTACAATAATATTGTAAATCAATTTTATTTAATATCAAAAATAGAATGTGTGTGTGTGTGTGTGTGTGTGTGTGTGTGTGTGTGTGTGTGTGTGTGTGTGTGTAGTAATAAATTAAAATTAAAAATAAGAAAAAATCATATTAAATAATAATTTAGCTATTTTCTAATATGATTTTTTTGTTGATGAGAATTTGGAAAATTGTAGTCAACACAATTATCCTTCTATTTATATAATGAGGAACATTATAAATAATGACGTTAGAGCAGCAACTAATGCTATACGAAAAAAATATAATTATATCGCCTGATCTTTATCTTAGATCTGATCTTAATAGCAGATGTTGATTGACTAAGAATCAGTGTAATCTTTTCATAAAAACGCGATTCGCAACAGCAAAATTATTCTGTTACGAAATATACATGATGAATCTTTGACTTTTATATGCATATAGTAATTCTTCGATGTGTCATGCGTTGTACGGCAGTCTGAGCGCTGGCATAATATTTTCATTTCACGCTGGAGTGCTCGTCTGTCCCATAATATGTCCAGTGAACCCTGCTGAACCCAAAACCACAACCCAGTACGCGTCCAAGTCTTTCTTAGGCCCTTACTTCTCTTTTATTTTTGTCGTTGAACGTAAGTCACGCGGTGACACTAAGGGACGTACAAAAATTCCACGATGTACCTCGTCAGAACTTCGTATTGCATATGCGGTACCGCAAAAGACATTTTATTACATATTTTAAAAATTGACATTTTGTACCGATCTCAAATGAATAATAATTACTTCAATGACAGTCAAAGACTTTATCAATTGTCATCTTTTTACGACGATCGAAACAAAGGAAAAAAAATGCGCCAACGCGAAATTGATTTCATAATGATTATGTCTGGGTCCAAAATGGAAATTACGCGGTTGCTAAAATTTAAAGTCGCTTTCCGGCGGCTTGGCTGGACTGACAAAAGAAAAGAAGGTTTGTCTGAACGTTGTTTGACTCCTCCTTCTCGTTCGTTCTTTCCCACCTCCGTGAGAGATCACTTTCGTCCCGCGTACAGGAGTGAAGAACTCTTCTCTCGGCTGTCTCGGCAAGGTGGTATCGGAGCGAAAACGCACAACGTGGGTACATGCCTGAGCTCTAGAAGATGGTCAGGCGGTATCGAACGTCGCCGTCGTCCTCATCCGCTGCTCGCGTCGTCGCCACTTTCAGCAACGATGGGGACCACCTCCGGGGCACACGAGTGTTTAATAAACCGGTTAAGGCCCGTCCCCGGATCTGTTTGCCTTCAGCTTTTGTAACTTTACTAGTGTTGTGACTCGAGTCGAGGTCTACATGAAAAAAAGGGTCCGCGATGGTACCCGAGCAAACAATCCGTGTGTGTCCCGTATCAACACGACGCACGCCTCTATCGGCGGCTGTACCTTCCACAGAGAAGTGGAGAACGTGGAGGTGGAGAACAGGCGGCTCGGTGACGAATACAAATTTGTCATCCCGGGAGTTAGAATCACCCTTTCAAAGGAGAAATTTTATCGGTATTATAGGGGTATAATAATAATTGCGGATTTCCATTGTTTACAGTTCAGATCAATGTCTTTTAAGCACTTGCTTATTATTTTCCTCAAATATTTAAATATCTATTTTAGTTTATTTAGGATATATAGAAAGAAAAGATTGCCTTTATTTTTCTTTGTTCGGTATGACTTTAAGAGAAATTCCCTTCCTTTTAAGTCTGTTTTCATATTATGTAATTATTATCAGAGAGAATATAACTAGTTATTTGTAGTAAATTAATTGCAAATGAATTCAAACATGTATAATGAGTTGAATATGTAGGTAAGCATGATGGATTAAATAAATAGCAATGAGTAAGGCTAGTTCGAAGGTGGCAATGACGCGGAACAACGCTTATCGCGGTTAAAAGAATTTTAATCCGCAGAAAATGAATAGAAATGAATAGATGTAGCTGAATAAATTATTCATTGCGGTTAATATCATGCGCACCAAGATAAGATTGAAAATATTAAATAAATAAAATAATCAGTGACAAATTTTAATAATTTTTGGTTAGTTAAAATATTCGCGTCCAATCAAATAGATAACAAATTTATTACATATTTGCTGAATATTTTGTTTCTACATAAATTGTAATTTATGTCGTAATAAATTATAATTTATTATGTGGCTCTACGTTAGCAATAGAAACAGAAAAACACGTATTTCTATTATATATAAAACAATAAAATATTATATTATTTATATATTTATAAAAATTCATCTAATAAGATAATCAAACGAATCAATGAATGCTAATCAGTCAATATACGAAGTAAATCGTTTATGACTTAAGCTATTAATGTTTATCTTTTTTGGTTCCGAGACTGAAGCCAAATAAACATACTAGTAACCTAATCTCGTACACTGACTCAGTTTATCGCTTAGTCATTAATTAGCCAAATAAAAATTTTTTAAACGCACAGAATTAAAACGATTGACGATGTTAAGAGAAGTCAGTTGACAAAAAATTATAGAAAAAGGTCATTGTTTTATTAATTAAGTAAAAATAAATAATATAAAAAAATATGAACATCAATTAAGATTTATCGAAAAATCATTTAAGTTTTGATTACAAATGAATCAAAAAATATATATTATATGAATATTATATTAATTAATGTATAAATATTATAACATTTATCGTTATAAACGTTTATATCGCTAAAATAGATCGTTACCTCGGATTTGGATCAAATAATATAACAGTTTATGCAACTATGATGTTGACTAATTTCGGAAAAAGATATTTTCATGCTTGATTCTCTTTTAAGAAAGTAAATAGATAAAGAGGTAGATAAATAGATAAATAGATGGAGAGAGAGAGAGAGAGAGAGAGAGAGAGAGAGAGAGAAGAAAAATTAGAATTGTAAATTTTAAAAATTTAAATTAAACTTATCTAGAATTAAGTTAACTATTTAATTAATTTGGTGTTATATTATATAATGCAATTATTATATTTAAGATAATTAAAGTGAGTTATTTACATGGATAATTTGTTGCATTTTTTAAACATAAATTATATAGATAATATATATATATATATAACATATACACATATATGTATACACACATATGAATATATATAACTCAAAATAAATTCTTTAATTACAGTTAAATTAATGCTAGTGCATTACACTACTATTGACATAGTAAAGAAATAGAATAAAGTAATATAAACTTTTTAAGTTGAGAGATATAAACTCCAATAAATATATAAAATTGATTCTAATTTGAAGCTGCAATTGATAATAAATATATAAATTTTTTTAAATAAATGAAAATCTAATGAAATCTAAAACTTGTATATTTAAGTAGTTTTTTTTTAAGATTAAATATACCGCGGATTGGAAATAATACTTTGTGTAATATTAAATTATTTAAACGTAGTATATAATTAACGATTATCAAGTGCAATTACAATATAAGAAATCGACCTTGTATTTTTTTTCTAGTTCGTAACGGGATTCTTCGATAAAAATATTCTAGTTTAAATACAATAAAAAAATAGCAATGTATAGAGCAAAGAAACCATTCTTTAACAAAAATGGCCAAGATAAACATTTTTATAAAATGCAGAAAAGCGCGCAAATGTGAAGCAAATTGGGAATTTATAAACATCGTAAATTATAAAATATAAAATTTAAATAACTATACAACTAATGACATAGTTTACAGACAGGCTCTTGTATTAAATTATTTTATCCGTTTGTTGTAAAACGCAGCTTAATTATCTTTTTCTCTTCTAACCGTTCGTCTCCCGAGTAAGATCCGTTGAACGCTATCGATGATGACGACAAAGAACAGCACGTCGCGCAAGTAGAGAAACGGTATCTTAAACGTTGCGCGAATTCTTCACGTGTCATTGCATCATTATACATGTTTCAGTAAAACTTGTCGTCGATCAGGTGAATGCGAACGACCGTTTTCTTTCGTTCAGTTCCGCGAACTAGCCGTGACAGAAATGCACCGCGACTTTTATCCTCCGGAAAGCGCAATGGGATCTCGCGGAGATGTCAATGCCGGAGAGGAGCGAAGTAACGTTATAATATATCTAACACCGGGAAACCGCGAAAGGAGCAATACGCATCAAGTATGGTGTAATATTCGCGAGTCGTTTTCTTATGTTGCAGCAAATGTTTGCGTGCCGAATACCTCGTCTCTGCGAGATGACTCGGTGCGAAAGCGAGGTACACATACACACACACACATATATGTTGTATATAATACATACATATATATATATATATATATATATATATATATATATATATATATATATGTTGCATTAGAGAAAGTGGATAGAATTCAGCAATGTACACACACCGCCTTAGTGTGGCGAGGGCGAACGCTCCAGCCACCAGCAGCACGAAGATCATCTCTTCCTCGTCCTCCTGCAGGAGAGTCCTCGGCTGCTCCGGATGACAGTTTCCGCTCGCATCCACTTGCGCACTCGCGGTCCTTCCGCGAAACTCGACTAGTCGCTCCGAAAAAGCGTTGTTGTCCGTTATCGTTCACCGTCGCGTCCCGCTACCGGAACGAACTGTCACGTTGTGATCTCGATATCCCCGGGATATCGAAATCGCGACACCGGAGGACCGGGAGATTGCGGGACGAATTTTACTGTTATTGTTACTGTACGTCAGGTGGACGTCAAAGTGATATAACAATGCACCAGAAATCTCCACATCGTCAGCGTTTTTGTGAGATGATAATCGATCTGTCTGTTTTCCGTCGGAAAATTGACGCGACGCAACTGTCCGTCCACCTGCGTCACGACCGGATTGACGTAACTGTGGACGATCGCGCCCGTTGACATTCGAGGGTTTAGTCTGTGCCTGATCCAAGGCTCCGGCAGGAGCCTTTTTAACTCGTTGGAGACTTTCCAGAAGAACCACCGGCGCGGTTGACCATTCGGCTTGCCGATCTCGTGGTGACTGAGTGGGTCCCCCAGTTGCGACTCCCAGTTACTCACTCGGGCTCACGGACTCACTACTCACCTCGTCCCGCGCTCTCGCACTCTCGCTCGCTCACCGGCACTCGGTCCCACCTCCATCCCTCCTGCTTCCTCCAGCCCCCTTCCGTAGCCCCACTGTAATCCTCAGTCTGCCAGTACGTCCTCCCTGTCCTCCTACCTGCGCGCACGCCACCCTCGATGCGCGATCACCGCGTGGGGAAACAAACGGCGGATTGTACGTGGACTCTCGGATCATGTCGATTTCAATCGAAATGTTATTAAATGCATTGATCTCTTTATCGATTTGAACAGCGATATAACGTATATATCGATGACATTTGATTAGCGAAAATTGTACGATGCAATTGCAGGTGCACAGGTTCAAGAAATTATGAAACAAGCATTAATTTCCATATAATGTGATGATTAAAAATTATATGTGAGAGCAGATCAAGGAAAGATGCAAAGTAGGATTTTTCTGTAGAATATTGATTAACACAATTAATCACGCAAATAACAAATGAATTAACAATTGAAATGTCTAAGTCGTGAATTACTTAGAAATTTATAGCGGTAAAACCAACGTGCGTAAAACTTTACAGGTGGTAATATTTCCACTTATTTTAAATGCTATTGTTTCTAATCTACCGAAGGCATTGTAACATAAAGATTATCAGACACGAAGATGTAGACATTTAGGGAAATAACCGCAACAATATATGCGAGAACTAATCGCAAAACCAGGAAAGTAAGTTTCTGTGTCGGGCACGTGGCTCGTAAATCAGTGTTCATGAGGAAGATGTATATTCTTCACACGTTGATGACTAAGCTTGCTACGTATGTATGTACGTCTGCTAAAATGCTTAATATGCAGTCTATTAGTCTATGTTTATATTTAACATTACATCTTTTTTTTCTATTACGATATATTTTTTAAGTGATCACTTCTTAAAATATATTTTGCTTAATTATCTAATGTACATAAATTCATTTGCAACTGCATATTATATATTTTGTTTGATATTATATACAATGTAATATCAAACAATTGAATATATCATTATTATCATTCATCATCGATAAATACAATATAAATACAAGATTTTGAGATAATTATAAAAACGGAAACTATCTCTATTTATTTTTATTTTACGAAAGTTTGCAAACATGATATTTGATTAAAAAAATAACGCGCGAAACGTATGCGATAATTCTGTTATGAAGAGTGGGAAAATCAAAGAATTAGTTACGATATGACATCGGCGCGTTCGCGATTAGATGAAATGATATCGATCTTATCAATTTAATTATAAAAATTGAAGACTCGTAGGTGGACGTTGCAAGCGCTAAAGAAAATTTTTCGATAAATATCGGATAATTAAATGGAAGCAATTGAGTTAAGTGCATAGTTTCCGTTATCATAATCCAACTGTTTTGAAAGTTATGTACAAAATTTTCCGTACTCATATTGTTCGCTCATTTTGTTCGCTCTGATTTCCGGTGATTTCGTCTGACACCTATTGGGTTGAATCACTTTTATTGCACGCAAATATTTGCAAGGTGATTCCGCGCGCCGTAGCCGACGAGGGACCCACGGCCGGTTCCATTAACGCGTGCAAATTATTCGAATATTATGCGCTACAAATTAGACGGCCAGCACTGGGATGGCCCGCTGCGGGCCACGCCGGTGCTGGTGAACGCCTCGGGATTTTAATTTAACGATGTGCGCGCGGTCGCTTAACTCGGGGCCCAGAAACGCGCGAGCTTCCCCGGAGGATCCGACCATAAGAGGATCGAATTACCGCGCCAATTATAGTGTCACGTCGTTAATTGACCGGTAATCCGTCCTACGTCTGCACGCGAAAAGTGAAGACTTCGAAATGCGCGTCAGAATCGTTAAAGTCGAGTAGTGTTACAATATTTATAGTTACAATATTTAGCAGGTAAGAATTACAAATGCATTTTTAATAGTCTACTTTTTGACATAAACTTTTGAAATTTAAAAATTCTTTTTACGTGAAATTAAGAATACGTTATGAAGCGTGTCAACGTGCAAGTACGGAATGATTTATATTTAAAGATATAAAAGTGTGTCATATGAGGAAAGAGGATATATGTGCAATAAGTGCAAATATATAAATATGTAAAAAAATTGTTTACAATTGTTAAAGCATTTACGATTTTGCAACTTTTCCTGATGTATTTTTACGCACAGACTTTAATTTTATTAACCTGAATTTTAATTTTGTTAGGTTGTTGCTATTTTTTATCACTTGTAAATGCCCTAACCCGCGTCATATATCCTTATATCGCGCATTTACATATCTGAAATCCCGTTTACGTATTTGCGCTTTATCGAAACGGCATCGAAACGGCTGCATTGGCGTTATAAGTTTCCGATAAGAATCGATGGCGTCAAGGAAAATAGCGGTGGGCTTCCCGAGTTAGTTCTGCGTAGATTACACATTTTAACTTCTTCCTCTCTTTCATTATATAAT